AAAGAACTACATCAAGTTTATATGTTCCAACAGTCAGAGTTGGAAGAGTAAGAGTTTTTAGTGGCTTTTTATTGCGGGAGAATGTTAAAGAATAGTCTATGAACAACACTAACAGTTCACACCCATTGTTATTCATACAAAGATAGCTTTAGATTGCTGTTGAAAACACATTTTTACCGTGGATATTAAAGCAAATTTAAAAAATAATTCCACGGTTAGTTGAAACAAGCTGTCGGCTGAATAAATAAAAACTCTTCTGAAACGGGAGTCTTAATAATTTATTTGTATGTCCTTTCATCTCAGGCATTTTATTAACACAAAAGCTTATTTTTTATCACAATTTTTCATGACATGTATTTTTCGAGGCGCCCCTCTTTTAACAGCCCTCGCACGCGACGCTCGGCACGAGTAACGATCTCGGCCCCGGAATGTGGAAGCAGCAGCGCCAGCACTAAGAAAAATTAATCGCTCACAGTGTCCGAATAGTGACACGCTTTCTGTACGTAGGTCTGATACGCTCTTTCATGGGATAAACTGGATCAGCTGGACCTGGGGCCATACTTTCAAAACTCGCTAAGTGAACGTAAGTACTTACGCTCTATTTTCTTGTCTATGATTGGTGGATTTTGCTTGAAAGGCCGTCAATGATTGGCTGATGAACTTACGATCTCTTAACTTTTTTTTAAAGTATTGGCCCAGGGCTACCCATAAAATGACGAAAAGTTCATCGTTATTTGGACAAAGTATCTTTAGCTCTCTGGGTGTGACTGAAACTCTGCCAACACTGCGCGTGGTTCAGAGCAACCCGCTACTTTTGTAAGCGACGTTATACTTTATTTTTCAAGAGCAGGATTTTTGAGAGAGGAAAGAATCTCGTCTAACGAACTCATGTGAATTTTATGCTTATCCTGCAGTGTTGCAGAAATATAATTATAAAAATGGGATTTCTTCAGTCACGGCAGTGTTCTTAGAACATGACAATACTAAAATGAATTTTAAAATTTCTCTCTCTATTGAATATTCAAGAAAAGTCTGCGTTTGATTTATGATTTATTGTGTGATATGATTTCTTTTGCATAGATAAAAGGAAATATGTAAATATTTCACAAGCATGAATTAGGCTAGCGGCCAAATTCATTTATTTTGCTCTAATTTGCCTCTCACAATTATTTGTTCCGCGATACTGCTGGGTGGCTTTTTCCACGCGCCTCGAATTACGGTTGAGTCAGTAAAGAAAGCAAGCTATTTCTTGGGATATTTTTGGGGCACCAAAGTTTCCCTTTATTCCCAACATGTTTTCACTGCCGATTTTGCTATCTCATGTAAAAGAGAAGGTTCTATTCAATGAATTCCATTTTCTGGTCCGCGAGGACAAATTCTGTTTCAGCGACTACCTTTGTTTCAAGTTTTCGGCTTTTTTGAGCTTGTCTCTATTAATCTTATCACAAATAAAGTTATATTGAAATATATAAAGGCTCTAACATTTTGTTTACACTCTACGTCATATGTAAGTAGTATCGCATTTTGAAAACAACAGAGGCTCAATCTATATATCCAAAATTATCGAATGACGGTACATACTAAGTGTTATGACATAATATGTCATAACATAATTTTGGAATAGATTTTTTATCTATATCTAAAATTAATTTAATTTAATGAGTTTGGTGATATTTGTAACAGCCGCTTCAGTTGAAGAATGCAAAACCTAATTCTATAAGAACACTGTTATCTATAACCTTGTACTGAGTGTAAGAGATGTAAGAGTATAGATGACACTAATTGAACCTATGTTAGAGGTAGAAGATTTCTTTCTTACTACCAGGTTAACTGGCGAGGTTCTGGGAGGTTGTGCACTATAAATATCATGTTGACCCGATGTGGCAGAGATGAAACGGCGTTTCTAATAAGCCAAATATTTTCTATGCGAGGATTTCTTGTAAATTTCCTTTCTACCGGTACTTGACCTGCAAATAAATTTAGACAAAATCTGCTTCTCTAATGGGCTGATTAAACGCAATGTGTGTAACTATGATATCAAAGAAAGTCTCAAACACACCTATAAACAACCGAACATTCTTGAGCAAGATATATATTTTTTATTGGAATGTTTTTCGGCACTTTAATCTTTTGAACTTGAGCCTCATTTAGCAACGGCAGCATATGGTGACTGGAATAGCTGATTTGAACGCTAAAGCGAGCTGGGATGTCCAATTCAATTTTTACGTGGATAAGAATGCCATCATGATATATTTTTTCATGATTCTTTCAATACGAAATTGGCGGGGTAACTTTTGCCTGTTACCCAGTTAAAAAAGTTTTACTCGGTGAAAGAAATATCCCACGGTAGCGTCTCATTCAAGAATATCATCTGAAGCTTTCTATACTATTCCTAAAGCAAATTAAAAAAAAAAATCTGATTTTTCTTCGCCTCTGCCACTGTTTATAGAAGAGTTATCAGTGAACTGAGCGGAGAAGAAACAACTACTTGATTTATAATGTATGTGTCCAACACACCAACACCTTCACTGTTTAGGCTCACAATCAATGAAGTTGTTCGGTAAAACATTGTTATTTTTTACTCAATTCCGGATTGATAATTGCTAATGAGTTCATTTTGTTTGCATATCATGATTATTATTAACCCACTGACGACAAAACTTATGAACCAAACCTTGAATTATCAGACATCACACATATACGACAGGCAACGAGCGAAAGTTGATGGTACGATGCAGCTTGTTTTGTGCTTCGCTACATATAACAACTTGGAGCTCTGATTTAACTTTATCAATTACTTGTTAAAAAATATATGTCTAGATCAAGATATTTCCAAACGTTATGTGTTCGTTACTTCAATGCAGACGCTCGCAAGAGCTCCATGTTCGACTATTGAATACATATGAATTTAATGCAGAATATTGCATCGGGAGAGGTTTGGAAAGAGTTTCTCGATATTTTGTTTGAAGATAATGGCATGCATATGAGGCGGAAAGAACCGAGGACAAAGTCTAGTGACGCTGATGGCAGCCACGGCCAATATGCCGCTAATGGAAGCTCTCGAAAGTTTGTGGCGCATGTCGGCGCATGGCAAAGTTCAGTTCGTCCTTGACTTTGACTTGCGATGCCAAAAGCTGTCCAAAATTGCTTTGCAAAATGGAAGGATCGTTTGGTCGTTTAGGGAAGACTTAATGCTGAATAGAGGGTGGGCACCGAGCAGAGCTCGTTTTGCTTATGGGAGAGCAAGGCTGAAGCTTTCCAACGTACCCAGCCGCGGCTGGAACTTAATGGCGTCGTTTGGTGCGGGCCAAGAAGGACTCCTGAGTGCAGCTTCTCCGGTCCATAATATCAATGCTGGGGCGCAAAGGCGCAATGGCCTCCGCTCCACCCTGTACTTTACATCAACTCACATCAGCTGGCTTCATTAAGAGCATGAACCACCTCTTGCTCACGGACAATAAAATCCAAGTGATTTTAAATGGCTGCCTTGTGTGTAAGTTAAAGCATTCCCTTGAAGAGAGCTCATTTCTTGGACTCAATTGTCGATTCTGTGACAGGAATACTTCGGCGACGATACGACCAATAGGCGTCTGTTCTTGTACGAGTTTCCACATTACATTTATTTCAAGCTATATTATTATTGAAGAAAATGTCAAATGAGAGCTTCCTTTCAGAGCTTGATCAGAACTTCACCAAATCGAACTGCACCCGTGTAGTCCCGTCATTTTTGCGTTGAATGCTGAGTTGGTACAATACGGTGCTTAGAACCGAAAAGAAAGCACGTTAGTAAGCCTACACATATAAGTTTATGTCGAAAATTTCGATCGATGATTCTCATGATAAGAAACTGATGCTTGTCCAACGACATTCTCATGCTAACAAAAATTAACCTCGTTTCAAGGTCTAATGCAGTCGTGTCATCTGGAAGCGTCTATAAGGAGGTAAATCTTAAAAAATGGACCGCTAACTTTATACTGGCGCCGATAACCCTCTGCCAGCCAGTGATGGGTGAAAGTGACTCTCTTTGATTTTAAAAAAATGTTCCTCTGGGGATATGATCTTCAGAGGCAAGTCGCGAGATAACCTGATGGAGGAAAGCTTTTGGAGCTTTGGACAAGTTGAACGTCAAGACGTTGGTTGTCATGATATTCCTGTTCCCAAGATTGGAAATCTTTTCTTGTTATATATTACTTATTTTGGGAGTGATATCCACAAGCCAAATTAATTGAAATAAAACCTTTGATGTCTTTAGAAGAGATACGCATATTATTTGAGGCGATGAAGTTGATCAATAATCTAACTCTCATATGTGTTAATCAAAGTTTTAGTATGACGTTCACGAATTAATAAGTTAAGACGAAAAGAAGCAATGACACTCATATCAAGACGTAGTAGATGAAAGGGCTGCCAATACAAGAAGGATCCAAGAATTCATCGGCTTCAAGGATCATTGTACCTCCGACGCGCCCCAGTCAGCGTCGAAAATCAATGGCAAATTGGGCAATCGCACACGGATCGAGTATTTTGCGTCTGATTCAGTTTGGGTCGGAATATTGAGCAAACGTAGGTAATTGATATAAAATGTGTTTTACTTGATTTATCGATGCAATTAAGGGGAGCTCTCTCCATTTGAGGATTGTCGACTCGTGATACTGTCAGCCCCGATTTGCGAAGAACCGAGTAGGAAGGTAAGACAATTAAAATATATTCCATCTATGAACTTTCATTTCAATGCCTCATTTCCCTATCAGCTACTTCAAACTGTCAAAACTGTTGAAACGGTAGTCCTAGCAAGAGCTGCAATTGTATGTAAATTGTCAGTTGTATTAATTGCCTCGAGCTGCGATGGTAACTTAACATCTCACGTTGTTTACGATAAAAATTGCAATTCGACACAGCGTTTCTCAGCTCTTAAATGAAAAAATTTTTATCTGCGTCGGCATTTCCTGCATGACTACTGTAACCAAGAGGATAAGTAACCTTAAGGATAATAACTAACAAAATTTTGATGGTATGTTATTGCACAACATGATACACATCAGTGCTAGAGCATACGATTAAGAACACATTATGTACACGTAAGTATTATGAAGAAAACTCGACGGCATCAGGAATCGACCAACAACGAGCTTTTTCATGAGCCTACAGCGATAAGTTTTAGAGCATGCGCTGGAAAATACGACACCTTCCCTAAATTAAACACAGCCATTTTCATCTTGCAGCCCAGAAATTAAACACCTGGCATTAATACAATCTTTGGAATACAGATATGAAAAAAACTGTTACACAATTTAGATTCATATTCATATTTAGCTCATAAATTTAGATTCATATTCACAATTTAGCTACATAATTAATCAAGTTATTACCAAATTGCCGAGCCTCGTGATTTTTCATGCCACGAAATAGTAGCTAAAGTGACTAATCGACATTCTTCAAACGAGAAAAATACTTTCCTAACTTCTCTTTTTATAATCAATAAGGTATCATTTCAAATTATATATTTCGCCACAAATCACGATTGGAACATATAGAATTGCGAATACAATAACTAATATGTAGCCTATAAATTTCAATAATATCTAGTTGAATAATGGTGACGGAAAGAAATAATTTTGAGTGTGTCCTCCAACGGAACTCCTCAGGAGCAGCAGGGAAACATTCTCGCGATCACCAGGTTAAGAGCAAAGGAATTGTACTAAGCAGGCTGATCGAAGAGATGCTGTTTCTGCTAAAGCAGATTCACTTTTCTTGGTGAATTTTTTTTTAGAAATTCAAGGAAACGTGGTTCATCTTACTAGCTCGAAGGAGTGAAGACTAGAATGTCAGAAATGCATTGTAAATTAAATAAAATTTAAAATTCGCTCAACTATTGATTCTTGTCTCTTCAACATAATACACTAAAAAATTTTCTCAAGTTACGAAGCGAGTTGACAATGAAATGACTTTTTTGTGTACGTTTATCACTGGCACTAAATAGATATGAATAACCAATAAATGGCTGAATTTGTACACGAAAAGATATTGAGAAGAACATTAACATTTCTCTGCTGGTGACATAAATGAAAGATGAAGTAATAATGACTGAACCCAGTAATAATATTTCTCTAACGGGGAGATTATTGACTAAATACCAGGAGATACGGTACGGAAAAACGCTCTACGCTATTACAGCACAAGGAACGGTACCCAATTGCAATATCTAGGGATAAAATTCCGAGTAAAGCTGAGTCAATTTAAAAAACTCCCCCAGTTGCCTTGCCAACGACAGCACCGGCCCAGAAAGAAATAAGGTAGACGTTGATATTGTAGAGCAGGTCTATGGTGCGCTCGTCTTGAGTGAGGCAGTACTTGCGACACTGCCGTCTCAGCCAGCCCTCTCCTGAGCTCATAAGATCTTCAGACTTTGCCACGAGCTTCTTCTCGATTTTCTCCACAGTGCGGTTAAAGGCTCGCTCACCCCTGCTCACACTCTGCAAGACCATGGGTTGTAAGACTCGACTCATTAACATACACAATACACTTCAAACAAACTAAATAACTCTAACAGGTTTAAACATAAAAAATTTACTTTCAATCATTTTTCATTTTCTTTTTTTCAAAAGGAATCAACAAGCATTTAGTGAAATTCTTCTTCTGTGAAAATAGGATATTTTAATAAGACCACTCCTGTCACTAGATGGTTGTTAGAGAAGATTGCATTTAAAATTCAATAAGTAATGATGGCAAAGACTCCTCCATTGTATCATTCAGGTTCATAGTGATGCTTGCATGATAACAATATAGTATTTAACAATTAGTGCAAAGCCATCGACCTCTGCAAAATAATAACCAGCAGAGGTCGCAATATCAAAACATGCTTAGGTACCTACACATAGCGACCGATTTCTCGTCTCTGATCAACGGGTTCAACTTGATGAGAGGCGGGCAGTTACCAACTCTCAAGTTAAACTATATTTGAAAGTCCGGCCCCCAGGCTGACAAACGGAACAAACACCAAAAAATAAAGTAGATAAGTAGATGAGTTGGAAATTATAAAATAAAATCAAACATAAATTAATAAAATGTGAAGGGATCCATTGAAAAAGTTACGCAGAAAGAGGGTGAAGGGACAAGAAGAGTTCAAATCTGCAGCAAACTACAAGGAAAAATTGAATAAGGAGGGGTTTTTCATTGCAAGCTTTACATCCAAACTTACAAAAAAAAAGTTTGATAACATGCATCCTATTAAACTGGTAGTCTACATTCCGTCATTTAATCAAGACAATTGCTTCAGTAAACAATACAGTTGGCTATAATGTTCAGAACAATATTCAACAGCTACCGGTATATTAAAAGTTGGCATGGTCTGGGTTTATGCAGATATTAAAAAATATAACTCAGTACTCACTGCAGTGAGTGACAGAGAGCACATTTTCTCGTCAACGAAAACTTGAGGTCACGGACAGACGGTCGGACAGACGGACGGACGGACATGGCGAGCACAATAGTGCATTTTTTCCATAAATGAGAAAATGCGCTAAAAATGTGTCAAATATGCGGGTGAACTAACAAATTCTAGTAATCTCTAGACTCCGGTAAATTTTTTTACCGGAGTATAGTAATTTTTTACCGGAAAGTATCCGGGTAAATTTTTTTACCGAAGCCGTTATCTCCAAAAAATACTTTCCTTAAGAATGGCTCATTCATTCTAGAGCTCTAGGCAAAAATCAGGTCCATCTTAGACTTTTAACAATATTGAGTTTGAGCTCGAGAAAATACTCTCCAAGAATGTGAGTTTTATATCAAAACTCACCACTCACGAGCACATGTACGCCTAAGATGACGCAGCTCCAAGCAACACGCCCCCAACAAAGCATGACGCCAGAACTGCATTATCTCTGGCAAACTGCAACACCTGCAATACCAACGACACTGAGCCAAGGGGTCCATTGATACCTACCTAGGTACTGAACGAATAACTCAGTGAGATAACCTCTATCCTACTAAACTACACTAAAATTGCTACAAGAATTAACAATAGGTGAGACTTTGCTTAATCTTCAAGGTCAATGGTGGTATAAACTATAATATTCAAACTAAGAAATATATTTCCTGTGCTCCTTCAAAACAAGTTCTTCCTCCGGGACTACGATATAACCAGCAAATCAATACCAACATCAAGTCACGCGTCTTGTGCTTTCCACAATACACAAGACTTGACAATTTGATGTGACAATGAGAAAAAATTAGATCAGTCTCACTCGCTGCAGTGACAGAGAGCGCATTTTTTCGTCCGCCGTGACGTGAAGTCACGGACGGACGGACGGACGGACATGACTCGCACAATAGCGCCTTTTTCCATAAATGAGAAAATACGCTAAAAATGTTAGGATTCGTGCTCTCAACAATAGAAAAGAATTGGTATATTTTACCATTACTATGGACTGGAAATGAAGACTTGTGCACAGCCTATATTCTGGATAAACTTCCAGCCCATCTGCAAGAGTACCTACATAGAAGACTGGACACCCCTTCTAAGAGATTATTTTGATATGAAGCTAAGACTTATAGATGTTTGGGAATGTTCTTCATTACACCTTGTTGGAGAAGCCTATTCTTTATCTGCAAGATTTGTAATACAAACTTAGACAATGATTAAGGAGCATTCACTGCTGGCAACTCTTCAATTTTCGAAATGGGCAAATAAATTTGAATTTATTACAAAAAAAAATTGTAAACTTGAAAAATGCATGACAACTTAGTCATTGCAAAGAATGAAGAGCATACGATGATCAAACATTAAATATACATTACTCGATAATTAAAAATGCAGGTTCTCACGGAACACTTGATTTTTCTTCATGCAGATACCTACCACTAAAGTTATGGCTCAGACAAACATTTGACTTAGAACAATTGTTCCAGAACATGAAAAATATTAGACATTGGAATGCGCTCACTACACTTCAGTTATATATACTATATACTTTATTGCTCTGAATAACAAAGATTAATGAAACTTAACAATTATGATCAACTTCAATCATTACGGGTGGCATATGCATATTGATATCTGCTACAGTTTTGCACCGTTTGTTCAGATAGATGACTAGGACCACAAGTTCCAAGTAGAACTAAGTACTTTGAAACCTGTCAATTCTAATTTAGTCAGTGCTTTCAAATATTGGTTCAGTAATGAGAAAAAAAATTATACTGGTGTTAATTAACTAAATCAATCAAATTATTTCAACTAGCGCTGCTTGAACATTTAAATTGATTTGCGAAATGAAATTATTCTCAACTTTAGATGAAAAGTTTCCCAAGTACATAAGTACCGTATACATAAAAAAATAATAATTTATTTTATGCAGGTCTGTTGCACCAACCATGTAATAAATACACGACTTGTTAGGGCATATAGAAATAATAAAATACATGCATGGAAACAAAGTCATGATAGCTCATTCAATTGTTTAAATAATATACATATAGGTAAAAACATGCACAATGCACATCAACAGTATAGAATGTATAAATGATTTCACTTAAAAAATGAAAGCTTTTAAAATAAAATGTTCAACTTCCCAGTGAAAAACTTACACTTTGGGCTTTATTGCCATTAACTTGCATCTCCACTTCTTTCTGCAGCTTCTTGGCATTTTTCTCGAGGTCCTTGTTGACGCGTCGCCAGTCAATCTGCAGACCAAACATTTTTTAGTTTCCACATAACAACAACGTTTTCAATACAATAATATAAGCAATTTTAGTGCCTTACATTAAAACTCGTGCCTCCAATTTTTAAAAGTTTAATTGACTTGTGATCATTGTGTAAATATTCTGTATGAATGATACATTCATATGCTATAATAGTTTCAGAATGTATATAGTGTACATTTATATGCTGCATGAAAGACATGTTACTTACTGTAATGTAGCCTTGGTGGGATGCAAGTTGCATAAGGATCAGCCCCCCACCCACAACAGTGGCAGCAGCCTTGCCAATCTTCATGGAGAGGTAACCCACAACCCTGTAAATAATTTTATTAAATACACTTCTCAAGACTATGGAATCCAAAAAGCAAATGATGTAACAACCAGAAAATAAAAATACTGTTTGATTCAAGAAATTAAATCAAATAGGCACTCAAAATATTTAATTATTAAAGTGTGTGACAGTTTGGGGAAGGTATTCATATTTCTAGCATAATGAATGAAGAAAAAGTACATACCTATACATAAAGGGGTTAAACAAAATAAGAAAAATGTCTGCCATATTGATATCATAATTTTTGAACATGTTATAAGTGATGAAAATGTTACCTTTTTTTATTTTATTGTATATTGTTACATACTGCTAATTGATATTTTCCCCTTGCAGATATTTTTAATAATTTTTTTGTCTATAACCTAACCTATAAATGGCAAACCTCTCTGACTTCAAAGAGGCTAAATTGTTGGTGCCCCATATGGCAGGTGTTAATGTGATAGAAACATCCAGAATGTTTGACTTCTCTAGAGGTACTGTCCCAAAAGTAATGACTGATTTTGGAAGAAAAGGAAAAACATCCTCAACAAATCACAGATTTGGAAGGAACTCAAAGTTGTGTGAGAGACCGTTGGTACCTAAATTGAATTGTGCGGGAGAATTAAAAGACCACAGCTGTTAAAATTACTACAGACCTCAATGGACACCTACAGAACGCAGTTTCCATAAATATATATATATACTCTGCCGAGAGCTGCACAGATCTGGATCCTATGGAAGAGCAGCAATTAGAAAACCTCTGATTTCAACTACACGTGGTTCAAAGAATTTTGAGTGGTGTAAAAACTTTCATACTTGGTCCCTTAAGGTTTGAGCAATGGAAGAATGTGATTCCGTCAAGGGGGTAATACGGTTTTGAGCGTTTTTTGTTAATAACTTCTTACCATTAAACATTTCATATACAGGTCTTTAGCTCACTTCAAGGCTCTTTGCAAAGGTTATTGAATGGCATCTCCAAAAAAATTTCATATGCTACTTGTAGGGTGCTAGATGCAAAATAAAAGCGTCCCGAATCACCCCAGGAAATGGGGTAATCCAGGACACTTGAAATAAAACTCAATTTTAAAACGTTTGAAGCATGCAAAGTGTACTCATCTATTACTAACAGTAATCTAAAGTTATCCCCTTCCTTTGTAGATGATGTAGATGTAGAATAAATGACATTTTCTTTGTTATTTACTTGTTTTTCCATTATTGATATATTACTATATCCATACATTATTGTATTATTGATGTTATATTACGGTATTCATGGACATGCCATTGTGCATTTACAACAAACTTGTCTACAGCAAGCTTCATATCAGCAGCCATGTAGCATTTCTTCTGTATCTGTAAGCTTACAGGACTGATTGTAATTTCACACCATTTTAATTGGATAAAATGAATTCACTATAACAAAAAGAGATTGTAAAAACATACCTGAAACAGAAAGGAATATTTTAATGACAACCATAATATTACTTGGAGAAATAAATCATAGTTTAGGTTAATTTCTTTCCATTCTATGTTGCCCGGTGCAAAATTCTATCTATGACATTCTATGCACAATTTATAATGACTGATGATGCATTAATTTTTCATTAAACGAAAAATTTCTCCTCTGAGTGAGGTAAATGTAAAAATTTTTATTGTTAATTGATTTTTTGGTTAACTGGAGCCATTGCTAGCTGAGGTTCTAATGTAAATGTGTTTCTAGGGGTGTCACTTATTACCTCAAGGGGGGTGTCCCTTAATACCTTGGGGGGTGTCCCTTATGTACCCCATTGTGCGGAAATGGCCGCCATTTTATTTTGGAATGAGATATGCAAATTCCATCAATCATGTTTTTAAGCCAACACCCACCCGTGTGCAACTTTTATGTTAGTAAAATTTTTTAATACGGCAAATATTTTTTTTTTGCTACAGACCTTAGCAGAGATACTTTTCCCAAATCTCACTTTTCACACTTTTTTCAGGGAATTATAAGAGGTACTGGTAGTAAATGTGTGATTTCTTAATTTGCTTCATGCTACATAGATAGTAAAAATGTTTAACTTTATGCCACTATTTTTAGTTTTGCAATATTTTGATTACTAGTTTAGCTGCTACAACATTTCTACAAAATGTGGGATGGCTGTCCTGATTTACCCTACCCATCCCTTATTGCCCCATTTGCTGGCTTTCTCTGACAAATCATCGTTTACCTTATTTCCAACCTCTGGCTGAGTTAATGTTTGGAGACAGCTAAAAGAGTAATTTAATCCTGACTGCCTCCTCCTAAATGTAAAACATAGCAGGGGACCATACAATGGTTCAAGCAGTGTTTCCAGAGGGGAATGATAATTTTTAAGATGATAATGGCTAGGATAATGGATAATGGATAATCCATATGAATGGAATTGTTAAAAAATGTAACTCAGTACTCACTGCAGTGAGTGACAGAGAGCGCATTTTCTTGAAGACAAAAATTTGAGGTCACGGACAGACGGACGAACAGACAGACAGACAGATGGACATGGCGAGCACAATAGTGCATTTTTTCCATAAATGAGAAAATGCGCTAAAATTGGCATGAGAAACATTCTACTGAATTTGAGCACCTCATTTGGCCACCACCATCAACAGACCTTAATACTATCAAGCATTTCTGATCAATTTTAAAGCTGCAAGTCAGAAGTTAATTCCCCCCACCATTGTCTTTATCTGGAGGGAGTTTTAATATAAATTTATAAATCTGGAGGGAGTTTTAACTGAAGACTGGGTTAAAATTCCTTCGGAGACAATTCACAATTAGTACCTATGAATCGATACCTCAAAGAATTGAGGCTGGAATTGCCACAATAGATGGATACCATACTAAAATATATTTTGCGGATTTATCAGGTGATTCTTTTATTTTGTCAAACCGCTGTGCCTGTATATATACCTATATATATGGTATAACTGCTAGAGAGTGTAGATTTTGTTAGCGTGCTAACATATATATTTGTCATTCAAAATTCAAGACAATGGGCTCAATACAGTGAATTAAAATTCATTAATTTACAAATGTAAGATTCAATTACAATGTAGAGAGGATATATTGTAGCTTGTTTAATAAAACCAACACTATATTCAAGACCTGAATAATGTTTTAATTTTTCCTGCATATTAAAATTTTTTATGAAAAAACCTAACCAACTTGATCTGAGAGTTCTAACTAAACCACAAAACCACAGCTAATTTCATATTTGCCAAAGTCCAAAGATGTACAACCTGCTCAATTTGACTAATATTATATAACCACTATTAAACACACATTCTATACAAGACAAATAAGCATAATATAGCTGTAAATAATACATACCATCCAGAAGCTCCACCAATTACAGCCTGTTTGGCAACAGGTTCCTTAGCAATATCTTTACAGGCTTTCTGGAAGCGTGACATAACATTCTGAGCTGTTCCTCGAATGTCAATTTCATCAATCTCTGAAGAATCTTTCTTCTTGCCTGCTTTACTCATTATTCCAAGTATAACACTCAAGTTCTGAAACAAACAACAAACACAATTATCAACAGATCACTTCAAAACAGAAGTTTGAAGAATAGCATAACATGGATATTATTATATTGTTTCACAAGCAGATCTTTGGTTATCATGATCTCAAGTCATTTTTGTTTTTTGTTCTGTCCAGTTGTTTGCTGTTCATTGGCTCAACTTTCAACTCACTTCTTGCACCTCTGTTATCTCAGTTGCAATTACTTTTTATGTGATTCTTTTCTGTCCTCTATGCTCTGAGGTCTCATCGTGTTCTTTGCATTGCAATCACTATTTTGATTTTTACCAGCATTTATAAATAAAAACATTTTTTTGACTTGCACAGTAAAGAGTAATTAATAAATGTCATACAGTCTAACATAGTGAGACTTGAACAAATTCACTGACAAGCAAATAGAGATTAAACTTTGAATTAAATAATAAATTTCAAATGAAAAACGGTTGTCTTGATAGTCTGATAGTTTGGTCAAGTTGTGTTGATAGATTGGGATTCCAGTCTCATACAAGGTTCATCAAATACCTACTACTTTTCTGCAAAGCCACTGGGTTAGAGTCTGAGAGAAAGGATGCAACCAATGAACATTTTTGCTCCATTAAAAATTTTAACCTTTTAAAATTCTTAGTATATAGCTGGAAGCCAATAGTACAATACATATTTTGTTGCATTCAATGTTTATCAAGTTATTTATGGTAATGGCACTACATGCTTGCCACTATTACAGTTATATCCTATCCAGTCTTTCTTTATCAACTATAAAGGTTTATAAAGGAGTTAAGAAACAGAAAGCTGTCCCATATGATAAGATGGGACCACCAAACAATCCTGTGTTACTAAACAAGCGCTGCGTTGTAATCCACAACTATTTGTATAAATCCTACCCCTCATTCAATAAATTGGGATTGCCAACATATCACAATGAATGTGAATCTACAATCTAGTTGAAACAGGCTTTCTGTCTTTCTGACAGATAAAGTCAAACAGGTAATATGGGACGGTTTTGAGCGTTTTTTGTTAATAACTTCTTACCATGAAACATTTCACAAACAAATTTGGGCTCATTTTGAAGCTCTTTGCAAGGGCTATCATGTGGTTTATTAAAAAAAATTGATATGCTATTCGTAAGGTGCCAGATGCAAAATAAAAGTGTCCCAGATTACCCCTGGGAGCAGGGTAGTAATCAGGGACACTTGAAATAAAACTTAATTTAAAAAAACTTAAAGCATGCAGAGTATTCTCTTCTATTTCTAACAGTACTCTGAAGTCCACCACTTCCTTTGTAGATGATCATGATGTAATGTAGAATTAATGACATTTTCTGTGATTTTTACTTGATTTTCCTTTACTGAAATATTACCATATCTATATATTACTGTATAATTGATGTGATATTACCGTATCCATGACCATGAGCATGCCATTGAGCATTTACAAGGAACTTGTCCACTGTAAGCTTTATAACAGCAGCCATACTTATTGCGTTTCTTCTGTATTGGTAAGCTTACAGAACAGCTTGTAATTTCATACCATTTTCATTGGGTCAAGTGAATTAACTAAATAGAAAAAATATTATAAAAAACATACCTGAAACAGAACAAACTATTCAAGTGACAACTATCATGTTTTTGGAAAAATAAATCATAGTTTAGGTTAATTGCTTTTCATTCTAGTATGTTGCCCAGCATACAATTCCATCTATGACACTCCATACCGGTACACAATTATGTGATGACCAATGATAATTAGGTGAATTAATTAATTTTTTGTAGGTGAAATATTTTAGCTCAGCATCTTTGACAGACAAGGCTGTGAGATTTGTTACTTGTACCTAGTCAATTTTTTATGGAGGTTATTTAAACATAGGGCATTTTCCCAGTCCCACAGACCCATTGCAATTAGGGTTAAGTTTATGTCAAGTATTACCAGTACTGTATTAGCCTATTAGGTTAACCAGTACTGTAGTACTGGTTAACCAGTAGTACAGTACTACAGTACTGGTTAGGCTAACTTAATCTACATATACCATTTTTGGGGACAGGGCTTTTGGGCAAAACCAATCACAGCTAGAAAGAGATACCTACCATTACAATTCCATCAACCACTCACAGCTGAAAAAGGGATAAAATCACAATTCCATCAACCAATCACAGATGGAAAGGTGGATATAGCCTTAGTCCTTATAGGATATGTATATAGGTAGAATGGACTGAAAGTGGAAAGTTTCTGGCCTTTCCAAGCTTTCAGCCTTCAGGTCTTGCTTTCCAATATTCTATCTGTACCAGACTACCAGTTAATTGATTACCCTTCTAGAATTCCAAGCTCATTCACGGAATGAAGTTGTTAGACAGAGTTGATCACCAACTAGCAACAGTCTGACAACGAGACAAATAAATATCTAAATAGAGAAATTGTATCACTATTCCACCATTTAGGTAAATATATATTTCTCCATTTACACAATAATAGATTAATCATCACAACTTTTTCACAAGTGTGATTGTTCTGGACCAGACTCTGGACCTTTGCTTCGGTGATGCAATGATCTGAATCAGAAATGAAGCTCATGAGTCATTTTTATGCAATTGCAAGGTTGTTAAGCTTATACTTTATTATTTATACTATAGGAGTCATCTAGCCACCTATAGTTTTGAGCATTACATTTTTTGTAAAGCAGTTTATATTTATTATATAATTCGTCTCTATTTTTTTTCAATTGAAGCATATCTCATGGAAGAACCGTTTAACACGTTTCCTGCAACGGCTCTTTTGCTGCTATGCACAACACCTGCGATGTGACCCACCGGTGGGTCCGTCATTTTTTCCATTGTTGCGATGTGACCCACCACCACCAGTGGGTCCCACTTTAATTTTTTCTTCCTTTTATAATTTGCAAAAAAATATAGGGTAAATGCGGTATATTCCGACACATTAAGGACGCATCAAGAAATGAAAAACTATAAAAAAAACGTATGCGTTACGCAAGTTCTGTTGCCTTCACGTGACTCAAAACACTTCACTACGCGTCAGCAACGATGAAACGTCACAAAATGTTGCCATATTTATTAAAAAGCCTTTAGAATGGAAACCTACCAAATACCTATATTCCGTCACTGTGTGGCAATATTCGACACGTGGTGAGTCGTATTGCGTCAGCGCTTCAAATTTAACCGATACGTAATGCCGACATCAACGTATTCGAATTTCGTTCGCTGTGTGAGCTGTATTGGGATACAACACGGCTTTGAATTAGAACACTAACGAATATTGAACACTACTTAATTACGTTTTAATCAACAGCTATTAGGCTTTTAATTAAGCAAATTTCAATTTTTGTACAAAGCTTGGAACGATCTGTGTGTGTCCAATTCAAGTTGTGTCGGAATTAGTTTTGATGGATCAATGAATGCATGGAACTAAAACAAAGCTTAATATAAAGGAAAAACTAGAGAAGTGACGGAATTACCTACGATGTCGGAATATACCGCGTTTACCCTAAGTGTACATTGACTACGCGTTATATATGTGTCCTAGTATTACTATATAAAGGTTAAATTGAAGAAAGATATGTAAGAACGAAGGTTTATCGAACTTCTAATTCATGAAAATTTCATTTTATTCAAAATATGCAGAATAAAAATATAATTACATTTGTTAGGGAATAAATATTTTACTTTTCATGTTTCATATTAAAACATGGTAGGCAGAGATAAGGCAAACCATCACATGAGTCACAAAATGTAGAAACTAGAAACTTTTCAAGATTTGGTTTTAGCCGCTTTGGAACCATCGTTTTCGGATATCATTTAATAGCAGCCGCGGCACCTTTTTCTTGTTTTCCTTTTGTGCGAAATTGTGCCCTTCAGCTTCCTGAAGATGATGTCCAGATGTTTCAGAAATTTTCAGGGAAGATTTTCCAGGCTTTATTTTCTCCTCTGACCTCCATAACACCACAACTTCACAAGTATAGTACAGTACAATCACTACAATGGATTCCTTGAATGCTCTCATTGTAGGGTAAACGCGGTATATTCCGACACATTAAGGACGCATCGAGAAATGAAAAACTATAAAAAAAAAGTATGCGTTACATAAGTTCTGTTGCCTTCACATGACTCTCAAAACACTTCACTATGCGTCAGCAACGATGAAACGTCACAAAATGTTGCCATATTTATTAAAAAGCCTTTAGAATCGAAACCTACCAAATCCCTATATTCCGTCACTTAGTGTGGCAATATTCGACACGTGGTGAGTCGTATTGCGTCAGCACTTCAAATTTAACTGATACGTATTGCCGACATCCACGTGTTCAAATTCCGTTTGCTGTGTGAGCTGTATTGGGATACAACACGGCTTTGAATTAGAACACTAACGAAATTGAACACTACTTAATTACGTTTTAATTAACAGCTATTAGGCTTAAGTTTTAATTAAGCAAATTTCAATTTTTGTACAAAGCTTTGAACGATCTGTGTGTGTCCAATTCAAGTTGTGTCGGAATTAGTTTTCATGTGTCTAAATCCAACATCTCAATTTAATCATCTATTAATTTATTTATGACTTGAAATCAGCGAATACAAGTATACTTAAAGGATTCCTAATATATTCACAGACGTATTAAAAAGTCTAGGTACTGACTAAAACCCGGACCCGGACCGGTCCGCCGGACCCGGACCGAGTGACTTTGCGGTACTGACTAAAACCCGGACCCGGACCGGTCCGCCGGACCCGGACCGAGTGACTAAAACCCGGACCCGGACCGGTCCGGCGGACCAGATTAAAAAAAATAAAAGGCTGCAAATCATCTGAAACGTCGAGAAAACTTTTAATTTCACATATAAAATTTTACACGTGGCATGCATTGTCTCTCTTTGGATGTCAATGTTTTCCCACTAGATGGCCAAGACCTAGTGTTTTTGCAGTATTTCGACACGCAAATGTATGACATCACCATTTCAACCATCAATGAACGCATGGAACTAAAACAAAGCTTAATATAAAGGAAAAGCTAGAG